AAAAAAAAAAAAAAAAAAAAAAAAATCTGGGTTTAGGAAAGGATTTTTTTTTTAGAAAAAATTTCTAAATTTTAGGAAAATATGGTCTGATAAAGAGTACATACACTGAAATATCATTTCCCTACAACTTATAAGGCTTTGGAGATAAAATGGGAGGAGATAAAAGTGGGAGAAGCACAACCAACCATGTGCCGCCATCTTGCTGGTTACTCACAGCTTAGCTGTTGGTTTTGAAAGAGTGAATGAATGTGTAGAAACTTGTTCACCATCATGTTATCACACAACAAGATTTGCCAAGACCTTTATCATGAGTTATTTTATAATGGTATAGCAGGACAGATTCCAAAATGGAAGCACAGTTTCTCATGATTCAGCTGTAACAGCTGGCCACTGCGTTTTGGGAGAAAATCAATGAAGGCTCTTCAGTGTCTGTGAGTGACTGTTTATCCTCCATAGCTGGCACAGACACTTCTTCTGGAAGACATGGTCCCATAGTTTGTAAGGGTGTTAACTCTGGAGAGCTGATTATCTCTGTTGGTCCTGATATCTCAGGAAAATTGATCCATCTGACAGTTCAAAAATATAGGACACAGGACCTCTCTGTGTCCAGATAACACCAAGCAGCCATTGCTGATTGGAACTGGTACCAGAATTTCTCACATATTGGTCTGATTGGTTTTAACCCGATCATGCTGACCATGTTAGTCCCAGCTTTGAAATCAAGGTACAAGCACTCTTTACCAGATGGATACACCAGAGATACATCGTATCAGTCTGGCTGGCTAGGCTAGGTCGTTGCAGCCAACCTGCCGGACTAATTAGATAATGTATCCACCAGTCTCAGTCTCCTCTGTCAATAAAACTGCTGCCAGGCAGTAAGCAGCTACTGGCGGCCCTTTCATGAATTTTTTAAAGACAGAAGAATGAGAGCTAGATGAGGGCAAGAGGTGATGGAGAAAGGAGAGCCCGATTACAGAAAGGGAAACAATAGCCATCACATTATAAGAGCAGGAGTACATATATCTGTTTACAAATCGGAGGACGAATTCCATTGTACATAACGCAGCTGCAGTTTTTATGAATCACTGGTAAAATGCTATAAAAAAAGAAAAAAGTAGATAAAATCACTAGTAAATAAGTTTGCTTATGTGATAACTCATTAAGAACATACAGCGCCATCAGTATCCTCCTACTTCTGTCATGTTCAGTTCTGTTCAAATTTTAAAAATACTTTAAATCCGAAGGGAAATACATTTTTAGGTGTAACTCCTGGGCAGATTTTCAAAGTGATGTTATATGGTATGATAACTGTTGGCAGGAAGCATCTTCTGTAGTGGTTTGTCTGGAGAAGCCTTCGACTAAAGCATGAAAAACTTGGCATTTTTCCATCTTCACCGACTTATGAAAAAAAAATAGAAGATGCTGAAATTAGGACTGGCCCACCGGGGAAATGCCCGATATCACAGATTACAGGTCCAAGCCTGGACTGAAGAGAATCTTGGAGTTTAACAATCTGTCTTTGTGAAATAATTTCCAGAGGCTTTAGAGGACTTACTCGAACAGAGCTGGCCTTCTTTATTTCCTTGTTGAGATTTTATTACCGTACTAATTTTGTCTGATGCTGTTACCCCAGCAGATGAGGGAGGAACAGATCACAGCAGACTGATAGAAGATCTGCATTGTCTTGCTGCAAATGCAGAAGGACCTAAACTTCTGTAAGAAGTCCAGTCTGATACCATCGGGATCTGTTTACTTAGTTTAATCTAGTTTATCTTGTTGCCTATAAAGCCGGGCACACACTCCGATTCTACAGTCGTGTTAGAATTTTCCGATCGGCCTGACTTTCAGCCTGATGGTGCTTGGTGTAGCGTACAGGGGGTAACGAGGGGCGATCAGCCTCTAACGACCACCTCCCCATCAGGAATCGTAAGGTCGGGAGAAAATCAAACATGTTTGAAATTATCAAACATGTTTGAAATTCAATCGGCTGTCCTAAGGTGGTCATGGGCAAATCGCTCAGTGGGCAAACAAGGATTCCTCTTCTTCTCAGAGGAAAACACAGAAGCATGGCGGAGGTGCAATGAGTGAAATGGAGTTCTTTCTGTAAAATTGACAGACCGTAGTAGCCACGTTTTTTCAGCCATGTCTTTGTCTAAATACGTTGTCGCCTTTTCTTTTTAGGGCGTTCAGCACAAAATTGCCCAAATAGCCAAGGCAGTGCTTTTTACTCTAGTAAGCTTCATATTCCTCTTCTACTTGGCTTCCGGATAGACAAGGCCGAGTAGCGCTATCTCACTGCGGAGCTGAGTCCCATCTGGTTTTTAGACGTACAGTGTGAGCAGGTAGATCGCATCAGTGTGAGAACAAACATCGGGAGCTGTGAACTGTGTGCAAAGATTGAAAAAATCGTACAGTGTATGCCCGGCTTCAACTTGATTTCTAGAGACAGAGGTGAAAGGAGAACCATCTTCTGCTTTGCTGACCACAAACTCATATAAGCTGGAGAGACTGTGGCAGAGGAGCTGATAACGCGCAGTGACGTTACAAACCAGTAGGTGGCAGTAGTGTTCTTTGACAAACATGGATGCCTCAAGTAAAGCACATTCAAATGAAAATCACTCTTAATTAAAAACACTGATCATTTATTGTACAGTATGGAATAATTTCTGATTTAAAGTACTTTCAGAAGTTTGGATTCTGATTGTGATCAGACATTCCCTTTAAGAGCCGCTGTAGAGGGTCCAAAGAGCCACATGTTGCACAAAATTGAATATCTACTATCATTACATGCTCGTATAGACGAGGAGAGAATTTTACAAAGTCAGTGAATGAATCCGACTAGATGATCTGATTGAATCGTTGCTTTGAAAAACCTTCAGCTGACGTGTTCTGCATTCGCGCTATAGAAACAAACTGAAAGTAATTAGACTGATACGACTGAAAAACTACCACTTCGTAATTAAAAAATGATCTTAATCAAAATCTTGAGTTTTTTATGGAGATTGTCAGATGTCCATTGAGCAAATTCAAAAATCTGATTTGATGGTAAATGAAAAAACAGCTACTGTGACTGTATAGCGCATAGAGGATGTTTTTTTTCTGCAGCTGAAGCCAAGGTCCGGCCATAACTTCTTTTGTCTTCAGACTGTTGCTCTGTTGGTGATCCAGTTTGGGCCAGCCTTCAGCTCTCAACTGTTCTTTCCAATGCAAGGATATCCTAAGATTAACTCAGTCAGTGAGAAGTCGAGCGGCTGAAGCAGCAAAGCAGAGCAGGAGAACCACCCCTCCACCACCAACACCTGGTGTGCAGTATTTGTGCAGATATACTATGCTTATTTGTTGGGTTGGTTTTCTTCAAATGCTTCTCAGTTCTACTTGGTTCATTGCTGATGTGTTTCCACTTTGACCTACATAGGTTCTGTTTTCTCTTATTTCTTAATGTGGCCACTATAGAATACAAGGATTTTGAACTGACTTGAATGAGGTAGCTAAGATCAGAACCTTGGTTTGATGAAATAATATTTTTGAGTTTTGTGCCAATATTAGCATGTTTGAAAGTATAAACACATCCATCCATCCATTTTCTGTAATGCTTATCCCTGATGGGGTGGTGAGGGGTGAGGGTGCCTATCTCCAGCTGTCTATGGGTGAGAGGCGGGGTCCACCCTGGACAGGTCGCCAGTCCATCGCAGGACAAACAACCATCCACACACACACTCACACCTAAGGAGAATTTAGAGAAATCAATTAACCTAACAGTCATGTTTTTAGACTGTGGGAGGAAGCCGGAGTACCCGGAGAGAACCCACGCATGCTCAGGGAGAACATGCTAACTCCATGCAGAAAGACCCCAGGCCGGTGTTCTGTCAGATGAATATATACGGTGAGACCAGCATACCCATAATCAATACCTGTTTATCCCTTTAGTTTTGTACAAAAAATAAACTTTGAACTACCTCATTGGACGTGTATCCCTTTAGTCATGTACAAAAAAACAATTTAATTACTTATTTTTTGTTGTTTTTTGAAGCGTATGTCGATCTGACCTTAAATTGACGTCTTGTGCATATAGACTATGGGTATGCTCATCTGAAAGAACACCGGGAATCAAACCGGGAACTTTCTTGCTGCAAGGCAGTAGTGCTACCCACTGCGTCACTGAGCAGCCCATAAACACATTCTGTTGTATAATTAAAACTTCCCTTCTGGGTTTGTATCTGAGAAATGTAACTTTGAGCATAAAGTTCTCTTTCAGATATTTAGCTTTGGTGAGGATGCTTACTGACCTGCATTTTCTTAAGCTTATGCTGAATATGTGCGGGTGTCGGTTGGCGCCTGGTGTCCACTACAGGGAGGGCACAGCGCACCTGTGCAGGTAGAACCAAGAAAACTAGGTTGAAGATGCTTTTCTCCCTCTGTGTTTCATTTTGTTTGTGTGGAGCATGAAAAGCTGGTTCATTCTCTTGTTAAAAATAACAGGTCCTTGGCCTTTCGCAAAGCAGCGAAATATTCACAGCTGCCCTCTTCATTTGCTCATGGAAGACTTGATTCAATGTTTTTTCTTCTTTGTTGATCAAAGCCCTTTTTATGTTGGTGGTTTTCAATCGGAGTGGATGATCTGGTGAACTGTAAAGTGCATTGAGATGACATGTGTTGTGAATTGGCGCTATATTAAACTGAATAGAATTGACTCCAGTATGAGAGATTAGTGCAAAGTTAGGGTTAGAGTTAAAAATATGAATTATTCAGCTGTGCTGCTTGTTTTGGATAAGCTGCAAAATTAGAGCAAATTCAGTTTCGGATTTCTTTCAATATGAACATGTTTCCCAATTTGAATAATAAACTAAGCTGTATTGATTAAGACTAAGGAGAATATAATTGTATTGACTTTAAATTTGTATATACTAGTATACTGATTCAATATGCTTTTGTGTATCATTTCTATTTTGCGTTGTAACTAACATTCACTGTAAATTTGTGCTAGATTAAAATCCATTTTGTAATGGAAAAAAAAACGTAATCTAACAATCTCCCTGGTACATCATCCTTGTCGCCTCCTACCTTTTTGCAGTGTCTGTCATAGTGGCTCTGGTCCCATCGCTGCTGCAGGTAGCGGCTGGTGACCGGGTTGAAGGGCTGGTAAGACCTGTGCATATCGATGCAGTAACAGCCTTTAATTCAGCCCAGCAGCAGGAGAAGCAGTCACAGCATGTGAACTGGAGTTTGTTTGCACGTTGTTGCCCAGAGACGTTACCCCCCCACCACACACACACACACACACACACACACAGAAATACAGCTCATGCATAACCCCCCACCCCGCCCACACACACATACACATACAGCCTTACTTTTTATTCGAATTAAAACTGTACTATTATCCTTTTATTGCACTAAACATCAGTCTAGATGCACATCATTTACTTATTTTGGGCAGTAAGAACTGCATCTCTAACAATGCATCTTAAAAAAGCGGGCTGCATTGATATGCACACCCTTAAACTAATACTTGGTTGCAGCACCTTTCGCTTTTATTGCATCACTCAGTTCTTTTGGGTAGTTGCCGATCAGTGTGGCACATCTTGATGTGGCGATAATTGCCCGGTCTTCTTTGCTAAACTGCTCCAAATCTATTGCCTCTTCAGATCATCTATTAGATGTTTGACAGGATTCAGGTTTGGACTTTGGCTGGGCCCTTCTATAGCCTCAGTCTTATTCCAGTGAAGCCATTCTCTTGTTGATTTGGGTTGTTTTCGTGCTGAAAGAGGAAGTTCTTCTTCATCTTTAGTTGTCTAACAGAAGGCTGAATGTTTAATGCCAACACTGGCTGTTTAAAGTTCCCTCCACCTTGACTACGCTGAGGAAAAAACAGCCCCAAAGCATGATACAGCAACCACCGCATTTCATTCTAGATGTGTTGCTCTTTTGGTGATAAGCAGTGTTATTTTTACACAAAATATCTCTTTTTGGAACTATGTCCAAAATATTCCCCCTTGGTTGCATGAGATCATAACACATTTTACATAACAGGAACTGTATATTGGACAAGGGTGTGTAGAGTTTTTATATCTGGAGCAGCCTCAGTCCAGCTCCACTCCGGTCCATGATCCACCCTTCCGCTCCAGCTCTGCTCTGATCCATGATCCAGTCCCCCGCCCCGGCTCTGCTCAAACTCCAGTGCGTGGTCCAGTGCGTGGTCCAGTCCCCCGCTCCGGTGCTACTCCGACTCTGGTCCGTGATCCAGCCCTCCGCTCCACTCCGGTCCGTGATCCAGCCCGCCGCTCCACTCCGGTCCGTGATCCAGTTCCCCGCTCCAGCTCTGCTTCCACTCCGGTCC